CTATATACTGGTCCTGTTGTATTCGGGTCTTTTCCCGTGTAAGATATTGAGATTGTCTTGGCAACGTTTTGGCGAGGTCTCACTCGCCATCTTCAGGCTGGTGTTTTGGGCTTAAAACGTGAGCGGAGCTGCCGTCTTTCTATAAATCTTGGTGGGGGTGTATGGAGTGCTGGCTTTGTTTCAGTAAATGGATTGATTGGATGTGTGGCTGTATCATGATTGGTAGATTGGTGCTGATTGGTGCTGGCTGTGTGTCCATTGTTGTTTTGTGTTGTAGGCCTGGGTGGTGGGTGGGGCTTGTTTTCTAGCTTGCAAATGTAATTGAAGAAACGGATATACCCTGCCATGTTTTTTGGTAACTGCTTCTGAAAACATTCATATTCCCAGTTAAAGAATATTTATAAAGACAGCAGTTGGATTTTATGAATATTATAAATAATAAGTGTGTAGTGGACTATAGGGAAAAATACAAGCCTTAGTGTTCTTTAACGTTTAAATCTATACTGTAGATATTTGGAATTTGAAACATTCAGTAATAATCTAGATTTTTTTAAAAAGAATATGATGATTTACTGAGTACAGTTTTCCAGAATTAAATGTAAGATGGGTGGATGATGAAAGAAGCGGTGGGGGAAGCTTATTCTGAATTTCATTTATTTTGTAACAGATATATATATATTCATGTATATTGGTATTTAGTGTTTTTACAATTTAATATATGTCATAGATTATTAAAATAGTGATAGCACCACAGTATAATCAAACTCAAATTAGTCTGTGGATGCTAACATATTGTTTTGTTATGAAAGAAAAATGAACAATATTTAAACAAATATTTGAACTGTCTTGATCTCTTTTTTGTTTTACAGGATCTATTGAAATAACTGAGGCATATCTTGTGAGAGACATTTTATATGTTTTCCAGGGAATAGATGGCAAAATCATTAAGATGTTTAATTCAGAAAACTGTTACAAAGTAGATGCAAAGGTACTGTGTTAATTTATTAGACATAGTGTAGATGGGGGAGATGAAACTTGAATATGCCTATGTGCATAGATTGTAATGCATTATTCATTTTACCATTTTTTTTAAAAAGCATTCTCTGTCAAATTCTTACATTGTTGATATCCAAGGTGGTTAATAATAAAACAAAAGACCATAAAACAATGGTTAAATATCAGACATGCATTAAATATACAGATATTTTTAAAAGAGCAACAAAATTCAATCTCAGAAGTAATATTAACTGACCTTGGAATACAAATCTGGCATCCAAATGTAGAAGCAAAGATAGAAATGGCCTTTTTTTAGTTGCTGTCCACTAAATTTCCAGTTGGCTGACCTTGTGGGAAAGTTTCCTGTAATCAATCTTAACTACATTTAGGTTTATACAGGAGCAAGTTCTTCAAGTAATTTGCCCAATTGCAAGTCATTGTAAATACACTAAATGTGAATTGCTATAAACATTATAGTACGATGGGGTAGATTAAAACAAACACCCCACCCCAATACTAGTATCTAGATTGAGTAGTCCATATTGTGCTTGGTGACAAAGGTTTTGTATCTTGTTTACTTAGCATTTGTACCTTGATCCTTTAGGCAAATCTTTGTAAGTCTCTCAGAGACACCACAAGCCGGCTTGCTGAGTTAGGATGGCTGCATAATAAAATAAGAAAATATACCGACCAGAGAAGCATGGACCGTGCATTTGGATTGGTGGGTCAGGTATGTGAGTAAAATGAAAATTCTTTGATGATTTCTGCTGGGAGACAAAAAACCCTGCCACTGGTTACTTACTTATAAAAACTGTCAACTAGAAAAACTGTCAACTAGAAAAATCCAGGGGAGCCCGAGGAGTCAAGGATGGTTTACTTGGATACAAGAGCCAAGGTGGCGCAGTGGTTAAATGCAGCACTGCAGGCTACTGCTAGATCAGCAGGTCAGCGGTTCAAATCTCACCGGCTCAGGGTTGACTCAGCCTTCCATCCTTCCGAGGTGGTAAAAAGAGGACCCAAGTTTTTGGGGGGAAAAAT